TCCCTGAAGTTCCAGTGAGCTGTGATGCCCCCAGCCTTGCACCTTGGCGGAGACACAACCTACTCTTTTAGCAAATGTACCTCGTTCTTCCTTTCACAAACCTCTGACGTTTACTTGGACTACCATCTTATCATCTCTAGATGAAAAACCAAGGGAACCATTCATGAACCAAAATTCAATTCCCAAATCTTAATTCACACCTTTTTTCTTTTTCTTTTTTTTTTTTTTTCTTTTTTGGAGAATAGAAAGAAAGGATATCCCAGCTATTCCGATTTTCTCATGAGCTGTGTATTTTTAGTCTTACAGATCTTTGGTAAGATTTTTGTTTCTCTTCTTTCCACACATTTTGCTTTAAACATTAAAGACAAAGGCCCTTGGCCACTTTCTGAAACCCCAGAAAAGTGAGCAAGGTAGATTTTATTCTTTCTGTTCTTTGTTTCATTCTTTCTTTGAATTGCTTTCTCCACCTTCACATTTTTGTCTCCCTCTCCGATGATCCCAGAGGTAAGATTTATGTTTATTACTGAGGTTTTATGATTAAGACACTGAACTTTGGTCACTGAATTACTACTATCTGTAGGTTCAGAAATCTGCCGGCCACGCAGAAGTCCCCAGGGGACCTCCCACAACCGGGGTGCCGACTGGCGCTGAATCCAGACTTTAACCCTTAAGCAGTAGCATCCCCCAGTGGTCCTGTTTATCACTGCAGTTCACTTTTTTTCTGAATTTTCCAGGTACTCTAACTTTCAATGTAAATGTAAATTCAAGGAAGGTGCCTCAGAACCAGCCAGTACACAGGAGTCTGCTGAACGTAGTAAAGAACCATATATATATTTGATCATAGGTAAAGATGAAAAAATTTAAATTTTGTCCAGTCATTGCATATATCATACACGTATTATAAAACACATACCTGCAAGAGCAGGGATTTTTTGTAAAACACATTTGGGCCGGGGGAGAGGGGGGGGAGCGGGAGAATCAGACCAAAAGAAAATCAGACTCTTTACTGGAGAACCTTTTTGAAGAAGAGAAAATAGGTTCAGAGTGTCTTCCAAGAAGATTAGGTTCTACAGCTACTTTTGGCTTTTTTACAAGATCATGAATCATGGAAAAGATACTATAGCAAGCATCAATTTTTAATTTGCCTTTTGATTGAAGTTCACATACTTAGAAACTACGGTCCATTATATCTATTGAATTAGAATTCTAAATCAAAAATTCCTGGCTGACATTTTGTTCACACAATGAAAATGCAACCACGTTCTCAGAAAATATGCTGACTCTTGTTGTCACCTACCTTACGTGTAGGAGTATTTTTTAGGTGTGCAAAATACTGAACAAGAAGCACATCCCAGTCACTGTTCTTAATTCTAGTCCTTTGCAAAACAATCTGAAATTGTGTTCACTGGGATTGTTTTCCTTGTTCCATAAAAGATCTCGATCACTGAGGAAAGGTGAATTAACGGAATACTGCAAAATGTTGCTGGAAGGGATAGAGAACAGGAGGCATGAGAAGAGCAGACGAATGATGCACATCTAACACAAATGTGTGGTGCTCGCACATACCCAGCTCCCTCCCACTCCAGAGCAGAACAGCCACATCAGCACAAGCCCCATGTCGGTGCTGACTCAGCAGAGGGAGGATGGAGGCGGAAGGATGTGCAAGACTGCCAGGGGAAGAGACAAAACAGCACTTCTGCATGGGATGAAAAGAAGGAATTTCCTCATGTTAACATCAGAGCCCTCCAGTAACTCCTAATGCTGCAGCACTGGAGATGAAGGGTTGTTAATTAAAACAACCCATCTGAAAATCAGTGCGACTCATACGTTAGCTTGAACTTCAGCA